GAGCTCGGTTCTCAGGAAGTTTGCAGTTTCATTAGTTATAGAGTCATTTAGGTTGGAAAGGACCTTTAAGATCATAGAGACCAATCATAAATTATTAAGAAGCCTCTTTTTTTACTTGAAGTATCTACAATGCAGCTTTTGAATGGGCACAGAAACTTTTTCTTGAGGTGACAGGAGAACTGAAGTCTAAACTCGTAGTGAAATCTGAAAATTTTTATGATCTAGAGTGGTGTTAAGTAGAGCAGTTTGTGTGTCTTACAAAAAAAGACTTTCTGAAAAGGAGTAAAGATAGAATACTGAAGCTGACATTTCTGCTAATTTCAGAATCGGATTCTCTCCATAACTTCTTAAAATGGTTGACTTTTATAATACAGTTCTCTATAGTAATGTTGAGAACATAACCTGAGTGCATAATACATATACCTTAGGTCTCAGCCTACATTTACAGTAGTTTGCAATGATGTTGAACTTTTCTAACATGGTGTTTACCAGTAGGTAGATGTCACCTAGATCTAAACAGTATTTTGCTGGATGAAGTGCCAAACTTGTTACATCTTTCTTTAGTAATATAAAAAAGAAAACCAAAGGCAGTAAGAAAGGCAAAAGCAGTGAAGAATCTGGTGCTGACTGGGAGGATTCTGACGATGAAGATGAATTCAGTGATTTCGATGATGAGGAAGTCTCCTTAGGAAGTATGGAGGAAGACTTTGAAGAGGATATGGATGAAGAAGGAGGTGTATTTATGGATGTGTCTGATGATGGTAACAACCTAGGTAAAGTACCATTTATTGCAAAAAACAGGAAAAAAGCGCCATAAAAATATGTTATCTAATACGTAATTATACACGTAAATTCTGATTTAGTTACCTAGGTGGGGAGTTTGGATTTTAAGCAAAGAAATGACAGGTCCTTTTCTAAACAATGAAGTCTTAAGAGAAATATTTCCTGACAGTCTCCTGGGCAAGAGTAGGATTTAGGCATCTGTGTATAAAAACTTGCAAATGAGACATGTTTGTTTCATTCTCAAAACACTGGCAGTAACAAAAGTAGCTTTCTACACAAATATCTGGCTACAGTAGGAGAAATATTAAAAGATCTCAAAGAGAAAAATAAAATAATCTCTTACTTGGTAATTTTCAAATTTCTTCAGAATCTTAATGTTGATTTTTTTTTAGATGAGGTAACTTTTATTTAAAATGCTGTCTCACAAGTAACAGCTTACTCCTCTAATACAGCTATGCACCCAAATTTTTATTACCACTATAATAATAACTGATTCTTGCACCTGCATGGTTTTATTTTTTCAACTGTAAAGCAGAGTTTACACCAAATACAGTGTAAGTGGCTGGAAAAGCACAGATTAATGGAATATTTGAATGAATAACTAAAAGCCACAGAAAGATGATTCAGGGTAGAGGAGATAAACTGTTCATATAGCTGTTAACAGATTAATCTTTTTTCTGTCAGATCCGAACAAGAACAAGCAATTGAAGTCTGTGAGTAAAAAGGGCAAGAGAAAGAAGGATGTGAATTTTGAGGGATCACTGGAAGGTAAGAAAACACTGCCATAATTTCCATCTGACAAAGCTCAGTACAAATACAGAATCTAAAAAACTGCTGAACTGGAGGGTTTTGCTACAGTAGATTATCTACAGTTTTGGATCTGGATTCAGATTTGAATAAACCGTAAATAAAAAGGAAGTTGTCCTCAAGACAGCATGGCTAATGCAGAGCGACAATTTGCTGTTGAAGGAAGGGAGTTGAAGGAGGAACTTCTTTAGAAGGATGGAGTCGTTCTGGTGGTTTGTGCATCTGTTACATCTGATGCACGGATTTGTGCTATTTAGTACTCAGAAACTTTCCTCTATTTTTTTTAGGGGAGGTGGAGAATAAAGGTTTCTAACACAGCTATTTTAGATGGTCTCATTAAATAAATTTTAAAACTTAAAAACATGGTAAGACTTTGTTTTAGTGTCTCTGTGAACTTGAAATTCTGTCTCATAATATATTTTGTTTAAAGGATCAAACCGAGTAAAGAAGAAAAAACTCCAAGATGCTGGTATACTGGCATCTGCGGAAGAGGTGAGTGTGACTGGTGCTTAGCAAAAACTGATCAAGCATTTTACCCGTTTCTTTGTAACAAAATACAAAATTTTCTCTCTTTAAAGTTTGGCTATCTGCTGGATGAAAATGCCGGGTCCAAGTTTGACAATATTGGAATGAACGCCATGGCCAACAGAGATAATGCAAGTAAGTGCATGCTACAAACAGCAGATAGTTGTAATGCTGGTTTACTTCTTTCCCTTCAGATTCTGTACTTGAAAAGACGGACCGTCTTCAACTGAAATACACTGTCAGAAACCACACAGTTGGCACAGTAGCTCAATGTCAGAAACACATGACGTAGTTTTCTTCAGCTGCTCCTAATGCCAGCATTTCTAGCACTAGTAAAATACAAATCAGTGTCTAGAACTTTGAGATGGTACAATTTGTTTTGTGAAGCGAAAAAACCTCAAAATTTTCTCAAAAAAAATGTTCACTTGCACTTTATTTAAACATTTATAAATACAGTAGCCAAGTTTTAACTTCTACATGATTTATCTGTATGCCACATCGTGGTAAGATGTATCCATCGGCTCCTTATTTCTCACCTTCCCTCCTACAGATGTCAAACAGATCCAGTGGGAAATAGAGCGTGACAAGTGGCTTCACAACAGGGACGTGAAAAGCATCATCAAGAGGAAGAAACAGTTCAGGCACAGAGGGCTGAAAAACAAGTACAAACGCAAGAAATCAAGAAGATGAACTGGACATTTTGATGTGGACATTTTAAAAATAATTATTCAAAACCAGTTTTTTAATTAATCCCACATTTTTCTTACTTCAGTTCTTGCTGCTTAACCACGTCATTTGGTCATTCTCCCTTATGCCATGAATTCCAGACCACTCGTTGGATTTGTAATAAACTGAAAAATAGGAAAATCTGTGTCAGCTCTAAGTTAGACATACCTGAAGAAGAGCCACTTTGTGGCTAGTTTTATTGGATATACACCCCTCTAGTTCCAAGGTCTCTATCCAAAAGCCTGACAGTCCAGCCATGCCTATGCAAAACAATAAACATTTCTGCAGTGTCTCCTGGAGTAAGTTTTAAGCAGTAGTAACACTGGTTTTATACATTAAGATGCAATGGAAGCTTCACCCATCCTTCTGAAGCCAACAGCTGCAAACCTACCTTCCAGAATTGATGGAAACCTCTTCTGCATTGTGTATCTGAAATCTGACAAGAAAGGTAAATCACAGTTACTTTCCCAACATACTTTAAGGTAATTAAATGCACTGTTTTTCTAACTAGATTCGTTTTATCTAAGTTTGTTTGAGCTCTTTAATTACAGCCACCACTATGATCTGAATTTATTTTTTAATATCATATCACAGACTGTATTGAGGTTACTTGTACGTGCAGCCCCATCATCACTGTTTTCTGAGCTTCCTGACAATTGTGATAACCAAGTACAAGCTACAGATACACAGGAAGCTGAATACCTCTCATAGACAGACATGCAAATCAAAACTGGGAAAACTGCTTTGTTTCCTTATGCAGCTTTAGGTGTTCAGTGAATCCTTCTGTGGGCTGCTCTGGCAACTCACTAGAAAATTATGATAGCTTTATGCTATTCTAAGGATTTACAGAAAGATCTTATCCGTTCTATTGCTAGAACAAAGAAAGCAGTAAAAGCCTCACTCTGAGCTCACTAAGCTGTTAGATGAGCTCACTACACCTTACAGAACTGCAATTTAAGAAAATCTACCTATGCATATAAAAATTAGGATCTAGAACTGAAAAGCAGGGGAAAGTAGAACCGTGAATGCTCAGCACCAAGTTACCACCACAGGTTGAAACATCTGTTCTCCATGGGTTTGTTATATATTTCTTTAATAAAAATGCAAAGAAAAATAGCCAAACAGCCATCTGAATCTCAAAAAAACAAATGCAAATTGATGTAGTGTAGGCAAAGTTCAGCTTGAACTTCGCATAAAGACCACAATACTGTTGAAATGGGTGGACTCTTACCTGCCCGGCCAAAGCAACAGCTGCCTTTTGGCAGCTGGACAGGCACACTTACTGCAGGGACACAAGTCTGTCAAGGTACTGCTGCACCCTCCAGAGCCTGAATGCAAAATAAGGCCATTGCTCTGCAGAGCAAAGATCCTTGCAGCAACTAAGCTGGTGCTTGGCTTATTTCTGTGCTCCCTAGGCATGGGGGTGTAAGTCTGAGAGACTTGAGGGACTGAAGCTAAATAATCTGGAAGACAATGCTGGCTGCCTCATGCCAGCCGGGTCTGTCCTCAGCCTGGGAAATGTCAAATCCCGGAGACCCAGACACGGGCAGTGCGTCCCTTCATGGGCTCAACACCAAATGCCCGAAGCGGGACCAATCAACTCCTGCCTCATTTGCGGACGGCCTCTGTCCTTTTTAAGTCCTTAAATGAGTCCCTGCTGTTACTGTAAGGAGGAGGAGGATTCGGCTTTGCTCCTCGTGCGGTCGCGTGCTGCCCCCCAAAGGATTCCCCGCGGGCTTGGTTGTGTAAAAACTAAAATTGCTGCTGGTTCTTCAAGACCTGTCCTCAGGGGTCCGCCCAGCAAGCCACTCCTGTGCACCTGCACTCACACGAGCCGGACTCCTGACCCCAAACCGGCAGGTTTTCCTTAAAAAAGCCCGGGCGGTGCGCGGTGCTGCCGCGGCGGCCGCCGCGTGGAGGAGCCTCCCCTGCCCGCCTCCCCCTCCCCGTCCCGGGGGTGCGACCCCCGCCCGCCCCGCCGCACCTTGGCTGCGGTCCATGGCGCGGTAGAGCAGGAGGGCGCCGAGCAGCCCCGCCGCCTCCAGCAGCAGCAGCCCCTTCACAACGCGCCGCGCCATGGCCGGGGCTCAGCACCTTCCGCCGCCGCCCCCGGTAGCGCCGCTCAGGCGCCGCCCCGCGTTTCTCGCCCGCCCGGCCGCGACATGGCCGCGACATGGCCGCCGAGGGGCTGCTGGGGCGGCAGCCGGCGGGGGTCGGAAAATGCGGGATATGTAAAAATTTCCTTAAGACAGGAGGGATGTCCCCTGATGTTTGATCTTCGTATACTTTCAGGCTTAATCAAACAGGAAGTAGATTTAATTCGTAAAGCAGGTAGCGGCTAATAACCTCTAAGCGATGTCCACGTTGTGCACAAAAATGGGATTCGTTACCCAGTGTGAAAAAGGCAATAATTACACACTCGAGGGAGACATTGATTATTTATGTCAGAGTTGCGCAAGCCCAGGTGCTCCGGTAGTATTTCATAAATAAAGCACACTGACTATCAAAGCTTTTCACTATTTATACATTTTAGCAAACAAAGGAATTAGTGTACATTGGCTACAGGTTACGTAGTTCTGTTATTAACTAGTATTCTGTCTTCTACTTGTTAATGATTCTGTCGCTTCCCACGCTAACTAATCTACATGCTCAGTCTTTCTCGTCTGGGTTGGTGGGTTTCTTGGATCAGTAGTCCATGAGATGATGGTCACAATCTGCCCCTGCTGGAATTACCTTTTACCCAGTTGGAGCAATATCAGCACAGTTGCTGAGTGGTCTTTATTAGTTTTTTCCTCATCTTGAGACTTCTGCCAAATGTTGTGGCCTGTAAATTCTGCATTCTTTGTCCTTTATCAGTGGTATATCCTTCTTCCCAAGCTTTGGGGTCTGAGGTCACTGAAGCATGTCAAGCCCCAACCTTTAACAAGGCAATTCTACCAACAGGTAATTTGTTTTTTGAACACATGGACATCACTTAGAACTTGCTCGTTAGCTGCTCTCTGTTTCACGGGTTGAATCTCCCTTCTTGCTTATTAGGCTTGAGAGTATATGAAGATCAAACATCAAAGAACATCCTTTCTTAAGAAAATTTTGCATATTCCACAATTTGCAACACCCAGGTTTTAGAAAGACTAGTTATTTGTTGGTAGAATTGCCGTGTTAAGGTTTAGGGTTCAACATCTTTCAATGATCTCAGATCAATGTGGACTAATTAGCATGAGAAGTGAGAGAATCATTAATCAATAGATGATAGAATACTAATTAATAAGAGAACTAGGTAACTTGTAGCCAATGAACATTAATGCCTTTGTTTGCTAAAATGTATAAATAGTCAAAAGTTTTGATAGTGGTTGTGCAGGTTCTGTCACCCAGCACCCCTTTCTGCACAGAACTGTAAATAAATAAAATACGTCGACTCTGCATGTGAATTGGCCTGTTGCACACTGGGTGAAAGAACCTATTTTGGGACAACGTTCTGGCTGCTGGCAGCAGGTCCCACTCACCACTACCTTTCCTTGTTGCCCGGGGGTACCCGCTGTCCTCACCTTGCTGTTTCAGGCAATACATGAGCAGGCAATGCATGTGCCCACCACAGCAAAGGGGCTGGGCCAGGTCTTGTTGCTCCATGTTGAGGGTCCTGAGCAGGTGCTCCAGTTGGGCGAGGGAGCAGCCCTGCACAGCATCACTGCACTTCTGCATCATCAGCTGGCGGAGGAGCAGCTCAGATCCTTCTGGGAGCCAGCACTGGTCTGTTTGTGTGTTTTCTTCCAGGTGAAGGCACAGTGAGATGCATCAGGCTCACAGCCCTAGTTTTATCATGGAGATGTGAAAAAAATGCCAGTGCCATACAAGTCTCAGTATTTAATTGTTTTTACCATGGAAAAGGGCATTAGTGCAGACAAGCCCCCCCCGAGAGGTATTCAGAACCTCAAATGGCAGCAGGCTTAGGCTGGAGTGGGCTGGGGTGTGGGGGAGAATTTACTGCAAGATCCTTTCCAAAGGGTGAGGGGTGGGGAGGATGCGGGTGTCCCATGGGTAAAAGCTCTTCTAGCACTTGTTCTGGCATGTGCTTTATGGAGACAGTCACAGGCACAACTGAGGACAAGCACCGGCAGTCCCATCAAATAGGTGACACCATTTTGTCCTTGACCCAGGGCAGCAGAGAGAGGCAAACACTTCCCTCAGCAGAAGGAGCGAAGCTTCTTGCTCGTTCCTTCCTTCTCCTACCCAAAACCTTCCCATGTTTTTCTCTGTAAAAGACAGAAAAGCTCCCTTTATTGTCTGTCACTGATTGTTTTTATGAATATATGAAAAAAATGTAAAGTGCATTGTTGAATCAGTTCTGCCCCCGGCGCTTTCCAAATATTAGCTATTAGTGAGCCAGGAAGGTCACAGTTAAGAAACTGTCGAGGATCTTGTTAGTGGAAAACATTATTTTGTTTAGAATCATTTGAGTGCTTTAGTGTTATTTGTCATCCAATGAGTATTATGCTGAATTAAGCCACATAATTAGGAGGCTCTGAGCTCTTATATAAACCTCTGATATGTTTTATTTTGTTCTTTGGGTTTCTTGGTGCAGGCATGAAATTGCTTATCCAGATTTTAAGTGATTTAATATTTACAACTATTCAGAGTATGCCTGTAAGTGCAGAACTACAGTTTATTGAATGTGGAGATCCAGGTAAATATCAGGTTAGTGAAAAGAAACTGTCGAACTTCTAAAAATCTGTTGTTTTCTCTTTCCTGCACTCCCACACACAAGTTATTAAAATGAAGTCATGCAGTGAGGAAAGATATTTCTCCTCAGAGGAGAAAAAAGATAATCTTGGATGACTAATGCCTTTTGATTAGGGGCTGTTTCACACAGGCGACTCTCACAAATCATTGCCGCACCTGTGTAATAAACCTGTTCCCACTTACGGTTCTGATTAATTCTAAAGAGGATGAAATAGATTCCATCTCCAAGGATTTTGGTAACACATCTGAATTATTATTGCCTCCCCAAGTCTATTTTCAAGAACAAAGCTAAGGTGGGCTTTTTTTCTTTTTCCAAGAACAAGCCTCATCTCTCTCACAGCACCAGTGTGCAAGATCAATTTTGGGGCCATATCGTTTTCTTGCACCCAAGCAGGTGGCACTGGGGGAAAGCTACTTGGAGACAGTGGCAGTCTGTTGATGCCCGGGCTGTCTTAGCACCCCTACAATTTACAGTAGCCATAGGAGTGCTGTAGTTAACATAAGCAAGGGCAGATGTAGAGCTGTTGCAGTGCTCTGAAATTGATGGAGTGTCATGATTTTCTTTTTTACGCTACTCTTTTCTGTGCATGACTGTGGTGGGAATGAATGTGGCAGCAGTATCTCAGGGACATTGGCTGTCTCCTTGCAAAGAGTCATGTGGTTAAAACTTCAGTATTTCTGGTACTCAGTCACTGAATGGTGGCAGATACATAGCACTTACAAGATGCACCACAGATGAAGGAAATAATTGATTAAGGGAGGGAGGTTTTTTCCATGTATTATTGGTATTTTTTCCTGAATGAGGCAGGAAAAAATAAAACATGTCTAACAAAAATATTTAATGTGTTTAACGTGTTTTCAGAAGTGTTTATGCTTCTCTGAGGATTACGGTCTCTTAAAGATTTCAAGAACCCTAATGCCATACTTTAAAAAAAATCAGAGATGATTGTAACAGCTGTGGTTTTCCAAGGGAGCTTTTCCTAGCAGGGGGTTGGCAAATGGCTCCTTACTATTTGCCAGGTCTTAGTTAGTTATGGGATAGTATTCAAGGACAATATTACAGTATTTTCAGTTACTTCTTTTTACGACATAGGCAAACCTTAGAAGTGATAACAAGGTCTTTATTATAATTATGTTATAATTTTGTTCTCCATGTCTTAACTAATAAAATATTTTATAGCCCCCAGTATGTTATCGGTTGCAGAATGTTTGGTTATACTCTCATTTTGGTTGCCAGGGTAAATAAGTGATCTAAAATTGTTGACTTCTTTTCTTCTATTCCAGATAGTAGTGTTGTTTCAAAACTCTAAAGACACAGCTGTTTCTTTCATTTTGCCATTTCCACAACAATGTGACAAGCATCCCCAGTTACAGCTCCTGGAATGAGTTCTCAGGATTAGTAAAAGAGAATGGTATTGTTACAGTTACTGATTGTAGCTGGAAAAGCAACAGAAAAAAATATTAAAAAAGCATGTAGATGGGACCAGTGGGAAAACAGCTGTGCTGTAATTAGTTTACTGATGGTCATACGTCATGATAAAGGAGGCAGCTGAATGCCAGAAGGGGGAGAATGTTCAAAAGATGCTTCGCTTCTGGGTATTTTGCTCTTCCAGGCAAGGGTGAGGGAGTTGCATGGCAGCTGGACAATGGCGTTGGGTCAACATTCTGACATTTAGTGATGGAGAAAATGCCACAGATCTGAAGTGTTAATGAAATGGCAGTTTACTGTGTTTACTCTTTCTGAACATGAGGCCAAAAACCTCATTAGCAACCCAAATTTTATATTTACACTGATGTCAGGCTTTGTCTTTTAGGAGATGGTTGCATGACAACATAGTAACAGAAGGGAAGCACGTAGTGAGATTCATATTTATGTGTGGAAACCATTTACCTACAGAAGTTCAGAGGAAGTCTCTGTCATTCTGTTACACAGTACAGTGTACCATGGAAAGGACGGGCTGTTCCGTTTGTCTGCACTGACAGGCAACAGAAGGCAATTCGTCAGTCAGAAAGAAGAAAGTATGAAAAGAAGGTCACACTGATGCTTTTTTCTCTTCTTTACAGTTGGCTGGGGATCCTGTTTTGATCATGGAGTCACCTGGAACAAACACATCGAGGATGAGAATACTATGGTCATAATATGAAGACCTGAAAGAGGTAAAGCAGATGCTGTGTGCTGACAGGCAAAACACATCTGAATCCATTCCTTGAAATCTGCTGAAATTAAGAGGAAATGGCACGGGTTTCTGAAAGAGCAAAATCAAGTTGATTTTAGCAACAGGTTGAGTTTGGCTATACAAAAGGAGAGCTCCAATGCAACACGGAAAACATCCAATGAAGGAAAATTTATATTGTCTGTAGATAATGACAATGCACATCCCAAGTGGGTAACTCCCTTTTTTAGAGGAAGAATATTGCATGTCCCATTTTTACTATATTACTTTCAGAACCTGACTGCCAGTGTAAAGCAGATAGCTGAATTCTTTGGATTCTCCCCAACAACTGAACAGGTCCAGGCCATTGCAGAAAGGCACACTTTGCAGGCAGCGAGAGTTAAGGCTCAGGAGATTTCTGGTGCTGTTGGCTTGATTCTTTTCTGCCAAGGTAAATTTGTTTGTATTTTGCCAGAATGATGAATGGTAGCTCCTTATCTTGGGCAAACAGGAATTTGGATCAATAGATGGTTAATCTTTATGTATAATTTTCAAGGCTGGGTGTTGTTTAAGAAACACTGATTGTACTTCAGGAACCTCTCACTTATTTCATCACAAGGGCCTGTGTCATTCAGTAAAGCCCTGTATGATATGATTAGCATAAGTGCCCTACAAGTAGCAAACCCTTTAGTCAAGGTATGCACTAAGCACCAACTAAAACAAAGAAGGATTGTATTTTGGCTTCTGTGAGTACTGGGGATAGCCTGGCACTTGGTCTACAGGATGCCTCCACAGATTTTTCTTGGGTTTTCTAAATAACCCTTGTGATTGCTTATCATGTATTGATTGCACAATCAACACATGAAATCCACACACTCCGCAGAGTGATCTGTGTCTTTTAGCCATGGATCAGGATAGAATCTCAGACAGCCTTTGACTGTGGGCTCTCCAAAATCTGGATTAGAGGTAAACTGCAGCTTAGGGCAGTGTCTGGTTGCAGCACACAAGGCTTTTGCAGTTAAAAGCCCCACCTTTGAACTTTCTGGATGGGTTTCACAGCTGCTGGTCACCTTTTATAGTCTTCTGCAGCTGTGCAAAGCACATGTCAAAGTTATGAAGGCAGAACAGTAGCTTCCTGTGGTCGCTTTATGTGTACATGCTGTTGAGGACACCAAACATAAGGCAAACATATGCATGTATTCTTGGGTCAGATATTTTTTTCTTACAGGAAAAAAATTTTAAAAAAATGGATTATCCTGAAGTATGATAATAAGAGAGAAAAGTTAGTCTTTTGTTTGAAATTATACTTTTTGGTCCTTAGAGTCAAGGGTAATAATTTACTTGTCTTCATTTTCCAGGTGTTTTTGGAGACTGGAAGATTCTTTACACTGAAGCTCTGAACAAGGATGCCAAATTCTAAGTGTGCTTAGAAAGAATTAGGCTGGGAGTGAAGTATAAATATGATGGCTATTGTAAGACCTGAACCTCCTTTACGTAAAAAACCCCACTAATGTTCAGGCTGCTTTTCATTCACTTCTGTTTCAAAACAGAAACCAGGACAATATCCTATTTAAAAATTTTGAATATATATGCAATATGCAAACCTATTTCTGCTGGCCTAACTCAAGAAAGCAATCCTTGCCTGTGCAGTTAGTATCACTGAGGTCACTGGATTCTCTTAAATGACTTGTAGCTCTTTGGCCTCCCTTGTTTTTAACACTGATTTTTAGCTTTAATTTCTTGTTACCCAGTAGAATGCTGTGTGAAATATATATATGTGGTAATTAAACATGCTGAATCACTGGAAATGTGTTCTGTGTGTTGGAAGTGATTTTCCAAGGGATTTTTTAAAACAATCATGAAGTATCATTTTGATTCTTAATTTCTAAGTTCATAGGATTCATATATAATTTTAAATTCTAAGTTCATAGTGTAAAATGAAATTTCAGAAAGTTTTGTAGTTGTCTTTTGCTACTTTCTGTGTGCTGACAAATGTAAGAGAAAGGTAAAGGAACTCAGTGAAAATTTTCTCCCCATTTCAGCAATATTATTTTTCTTTCCTCTGATAGTGTGAGGTCACTGGAAATGGAGCCTTTTCCTGGGTTGTCTGGGTTTGCCTGTTTTTGCTTGGGTTACTTTAAGCCTAACTGTAGTCCATATGATCTCATAGCTAGGATGTGGATTTTTCCTGGATGTCTGTCTGGGAGCTTTGAAGTGTCACAATCCGAAACAGAATGAGTGTCCTTTGGTGAACCCAGGAGACCAGTGTGCACAAGACAGTTTAACACTGGATGGTCTCTGCCGTTTCAGGCTGAAGCTTTCCCTTGGGAGGCTGGTTAAACACCAGTCTTTGGCAGCTGGTTGTCTTCCCCACCAGAGACATTTCTTTATCTCCAAAAATTAGGAATACAAGGGAAAAAGTACTCAGAGAAAGAATATGTGTGTAATGGACACACAGTTGCTAATTTAACCAGCAGAGAAGGTTACAGTCTTCCTTCTCATAGTTTGTCAGATTCTCTTTCATAAATAATTGCTTCTGGTAGGTAGCTTGGCAGGAGGACTGTTTGTTACAGATATATTGGGTAAAAACTGTGCCTTAGACAGGCTGAAAACTCAAGTGTTGGGTACTTGAGGTGTTGACAAAAATGGACTCTGTGAGACCTTCTGCTGCACACTTTGTTAGCTGATGGTAAACACAACAAACTCTCAGCCATTCACTGCTGATGAGAATCCCCTTCTAAAAGTTTGCCAGTGACGGGAACGATTAAACAGCTTAACTTCAGTTCATAGTTTGGAACATCTTGTCATTTTTTATTTAAGTCTCTACAAAATCTTGTTTTTCTGTCTTTCCTGGCACATTACCTTTTAATTTTCTTAATAATCTTTTTATGACAACAGATGCCCGGACTTGTATTCTAATGTGTCTTTTTTTGTTAAAGTCCTAACACTGATCTGAATTTTGGCTGAATGATCACCTTTGGTGGGGATTAGCACCTTCTGTTTTACTTGTAACACACTGCAGAGCTTGGCAGTGTACACTGGAAGCGTTGAAATGAGACTGGTTGGTGATTGTTACAGATGTTAACGTCAGGATTGATGCAAAGGAGAGAAACAGAACAGCACCATTATGAATGGGAGCACACTATATCAGTGCTGCGTCTGAGTGCATTGATAGAGCACTCTCTTAAAATGCCATTTATGTTCAGATGTTTATGGTCATAGATACAATTGTTCTGTACTGCTATTGCACTTTGTAATAGATGTAGATTGGATAATATGAAGAATTACCCAATAAAATATTCAGTTTGCATCTGAGTAGAACAATTTTCATATGATTATTTGGCTTCTGCAAAAACTTTAGAGGCTTGAGGAAGACAGAAAATTAGTCTTTGACTTTGCTCAAAACGTGAGACAGTCAGGAACAGTCAGAAAATGAAAAGGGGCTGGGAAACTGATGTCTCAGGAGGCTTGTGTACTTGTGAATAATATAAGTTTATTGACGTGCATGTGGGGTCTCCAGTGAGTTCCCTACTGTTTTGCATTTTACAAACCAGTGAAGGTGTTTTCATTACTAGAACACTCATTAGCATTCCCCTAGCAGGTAAACAAGTCATAGTTTCATTATTGTGTATTTCTGTTATATCCAAGGCAATGTATATATATGCAGAGGACCTTGGACAAATGCAGTAGGGAGTTAGTTCCCCTCCCAGTGACCGAGGGTGCCAGCCTTCCTGGGGTGAGCAGTGGTTGCAAGGTGGTGGTAAGTGTGGTAGGTCCTCCATGCTGTCTGAATCCTGAACTCATGAGGACTTTCTAGCAGTAAAGCCTGGCTGTGGTCTTACCAGAGAGAAAAAAACATGGTGTGGGAGAACGGGAGCACACAAAACAAGTGGGTGCAGGATGGAGATCTGCTCTGAAGGTTGTATTTGTTTGATGAGTATGTTCCCCATATGACTGGAGATTATAATTTGGAGCAGAAAGCCTCAGGAAAGCCTCCTCCACAGTGGTGCCGCTGGGAAGTGTGTGTGTGCTGCAGAGTCTCAGCAGAGCAACAAATGTGTCAGAGTGCTGGGGATTGCTCAGACTCTTGATGTACCTGGAGCAGAGTATTCATGGTTAGGACTAAACAGGGCAGTAAACAATCTTCCGTGGTTATCAAATCCAAATGTCTCTGTGGCACTTAATTGCTTTTGCAGCCCCTGTGCCCTGACTGTTGTCATTTAAAATCAGCAATCTGAAGTGCAAGAGGCAGAGTGTGTATTTTATACATGGGTGATTTCACAGTTTCTGGGCAGTGGAGGACAAGCCCTCCAGGGCTCTCTCATGTTGTATTTTTCACTGTGGATATTTTGAATGGTTTACGATTGAGGCCATACAAGTGCTTTATCCACAAATGAAATGGGTGCCGGAAGCCCAAGGGCACCAAAAGAGATGAAAAATGCATTAATATAGAAAGACAACTATGTGATGCAGTAGAATAAGTATCATTATTAACTGCTGTAAATATAAGGCTGTTTGCTGGCATGACAGACTCTCCAGAATAAAAATAGCAGAAGTGGCCTGAGTTTGTTTCTGAAGGAAAACTGCTCAAAGTCCATAAGTAAATCAAAGTCATTGAGGGTAAAAGAAAGAGATAGTACAGTGTTAGCTTGAGTACAGCTATGCTGCAGTCTTTCAGAAGCAGAGGTACATGCTGATGCACGAAGGAAGTTGTATCAAAGGAGGGATATGGCAAATCATGTTCATTGAGTAAGGAGCAGTTCAGCTGGAAAACTAGGGAAATCAAACCAAATACATCACCTCATTGCAATAGAATGAACATAAGTACAGAATGAATTAAAAGTAAGAAGCCAAAAATAAGAAGCCAAAACTTAGGCCAAGATCTCTTTGGGTAAATTGAGCCGCTCTTACGTACTGGCACATGGATTATATTTACACTCATTTATATCAATGTCCATGAAGTCTTGTTTCAAGATGCAGTGGCTTCAAGGACCAAATCCTGCTCACTGCCTCTGTAACCCACTCATGGCAGCACGTCACTCCCTGAAGGTTCCACTTCACCCCACAGCTGCCCTGCTGTCCCCTGAGGCAATGCCAGAATGGTGTCCCGGGCATGGGGGCTGCTGGGATACTACAGAAATTTTATGGTGGACTTAAAGAGAGGAAAGGAGCTTGAAAAGAAATACATTGAATGTTTGCTGTGTGGTTTGCACATAGACATGAAGAAGCTCCAAGCTAGCCAGGCAGGAGTCAGCTGCAATCCCCAGGACTCACATTAGCAAGGATCACGGGCCAAGTTTATTAACTAACATAGTCCCTGGACTACTTGTGTGCTGTGCCTTGGAAAGATGGTATAGACATTGACAAAAAAGGATCTAAGAAAAGATTTGCATAGATAAAATGAGATGTGTTTATTTAAAATAGCCCCACAATTTATCTGCCAGAGGGGCTATTTTGGAGTAAGAGCACAGGCTAATTACTGGAGGCTGAAGGAAGAGGTGAATGCCAAAGAAGTGCTTTCAGGCTTTGCATTCCAGCTCTGGAGAGGGGGAAGGTGGGTTTTCAGATGTGCTACATTCTGCAGATTTTTCTAGCAGTTAGCTGCTATGGTGTCTGCCTTCCCTCTGCCACTCCCATTCAGTGTGCAGGGCACAGTGTGCCTTGTTCTGCGATGCTCTAATTCTCCTCATTCACTGTATGGAGGACATCACCTGGGGGACATCAACCTGCCAGCTTGGGTTGCTTGGTTTGTAGATTGGCTGTTCTCAAGTTGGTCTCTCTGAGGGGGCTGTCAGAGGATGTGCATGGTTTGTTTAGATTTTTGGTTAGTGGCTCTGCATAGCAGGTAGCTCTTGTGTGTTTACTCTGGGGTGCTGTAGTTACGGCCCTACCCAAGGAAGTTATCCTGACAGACTCGTGGGATGGGGAGAGTGCATTGGCTTTCACTGACAAGCTTGTGCATTATTCTCTGAACTCTGGAGGATGTACGCCACATCTGTCTTCTCCTTGCTACTTTTCAGTGCTGTCACGGTCTTTCCACATTGCTTCTGTTTTCACCAAAAGCCCAGATTGATTAAAGTTCTCATTGACTGTGAAAAATTAATTCTTTGGTCTCCTCACACTGTCTGGCAAGGAACGTGTGGCAAAGGGTACGCTGTGTTGAGTAGCTGGGATCCTGACATCCTGATATCCTGACATCCTGGTATCCTGGCATTCTTGGGGCCTACAGTGTAAAGGTGGCAGAGATACCAGATAGTGTAGCTCTTCTGCTCTGCTGTTGGCAACTGTGGGCTGCCTCACTCTGCCCAGGCACTAGGGATATGGCAGTAGTATGGCTGAAAGTGGTGGGACCCATACCTGTGTGCCGATTGAGAGCCTGAGCACAGTTCCTCTGAATGACACTGATGCTCAGCAGTATGACCCAGATGAAATCAGTCCCACAGCATGGATGCAATCGGCTTGAGTAATCCAACTTGCCAACTCTAAGCCAAAGTTTGAAAGGTTAGTGTATCTCGAGGTGAACAGGGTGTACCAGGGAGCTGCTCATGGGCATGCTGCTAGACACATGAGTAAGCAGCTCAATATTGGTGCACTGCAACAGTAAAGCAGCGAATGAGTTTGTTTTGGGGATGGTCTGAAAAATGGTGGTTGTTGTTTAAATATTGATACCTGCACTCACTAATATTTTTAATGGTAAAACTGAGTGCAATTTGATTGTGTTCTGGAGTGATTTTATATAAATCACCTCCTTTTAGAAATAGTTGTTTAGAATTAAATGAAATATTACATTGCTGGGGTTCACAGACTTTTGCTAACTTATATGAACACAATAGTTAGTTGGCATTTAATTTTGTATGTAACTTATCCAAAGTTGCAATGTTTTATAAGGATAATTGCTAAGTTGTCATGTAGGTGGTTTCTCTAAATGGCTTCATAGCATTTAAAAGGACAAAAGAAATTGCACATAAATAGTAGGTTATTAGAAATAAATGGCTATGCAATTATTCATAGCAGTAGAAATGGACAATTCAGCTTACAATGGAATTCTTCAGAACACTATAGCAACAGTATTTACATGGAATAACATCTGAAATTTGCAGTTGGCTTTGTTTCCCATTTAGAATGCCTTGTGTAATTACTATGCCAGTCCCCTTTTGAAGAAATCCATTATAATTTTAATTATGTTAATTCTGATACTGTGAATAATTGGCCATATATTCAGTAAAATTGATTTTTTTTTGCCCCTTAAATATGAATAAACTGTCGTATGAGGATATGTGCTTGATGTCTTTGGAGTCACCTTTTTCAAGTTTTTGCATAAGAATGTCATACAATTAATGCTGTAATTAGGAGTTAATTTGAGGCTGGGGAGAAAGTTTAGACCTATGTTTACTTTAAGAGAGCATAGCTGGATGTTGGGGATTCTCACAGCAAAACAAAAACCTTATTTTTATCTTCTGTGGACTATAAATGTTATCAGAAATTATGTGCCACATTCTGTTCTCAGATAAATGCTCTCCTTATAATTAGATGCTGTCATGGCATAGATCTATTGGGGATGAGTTTAATCCTTTAAGTGCACTCCCATGTATACCGGAAAATGCTCCAAGTTCCTTTCTGTTGAGGGGAACAGAAGGGAATTCATATTGTGCTCTTTTTTTTGTGCCATGGGAACACTGTCGGATTGCTGAAGTGCTGGCATTGGTTTAGTCAGTAAGTATTTGTTTTGTTCTATCTGTTTGATTACCAGGTTTGGTCAAATATATGAAAAGACCTATCAAAATGCCCTTCAGCAAAACATGGCATGATCCTGTCCTGCAAATGTCACATTACTATTTGTATTGCGACAACCCATTTCTCTGTGCAGATTAAAAAGAAAAAGCCCAGTGTATTTTTACACCATTACAGGAGAGAGATGTCAAATTACAGGAAAAATCCTGAGGGACAGTGAAGTCTCTTCAGTTGTATGTAATTTCATCACTTCTCCTCTCAAGGCAATTGGTTTCAGAATGAAGCCATCAGCAGCTAGGTACTGTCAGTGGTTATAGGATACAAGAAACATACTGGACTTCGCATTTCCTTCTTTACACTGTGTGCTGGTTTAAAGGTAAAACTGCAGGAGAAATGAACCCAACTCAAAAGAGATTATAAGTCAGAGTTACAATTTAATAAAAATAATACAATAATACAATTATATGGACAAACAATTGGTTTTAACCCACAAAACCCAGATGTATAACCCAGCACCCTGGGGCATAAACAGAATGGTGTTCGTTGGCCCCCGTGCTGAGCCCCACGTGGTCCCCCTGAGGCCAAAGTAAAAGGGGAGGAAAACCTGTTGGTGAGCGCTGGTCACAGTCTGGTCGAGAGTGGTGGTTGCAGTCCAGTCGAGGTTCTGATCCTCCTCTAGATCTGACGAGTGGTATCAGAAGTCCCAAGACCCCAAGATTATATACACTCAGGTTCAAGTGGGAATGCCCAGTACCTCTCCCAGGATGGGGAGTTCCACAATGGGTGATTGTGAGTCATGAGATATTTTTGGAATCCTTGGTGGCCCATTAGCAGACATGACCCCTCAGGCTGGGTGTGGAGGTGCTAATGACTCCCCAGAGGGGAATTATCACACCTGAGTCATTGGTGTGAGCATAGGAACATCCTCCTATCTCACAGGCTTTTTAACACCCAGCTTATAGCCTGAGGGGTCAGGTGTGCTCTGGGCAGCCGCTGGAAATGGTCTATTGTTAACAGTTCCTGGGAAATGACAGAGGGTGCAGAATACACAGTTTGGATTACACCCACACAGTGATGAACTGGTCCCAGCTGCTCTAACTAGGACACACTGCTTTTCCTAAAATATCAGCTCGAGTTCCTTCAGGTAAATGCCCAAGGGATTTCAATGTCTTGGTACCCTGGTGCCAGACACTGACTCCTCCCCCTCTCTGCTCCTCCCCACTCAGCAAAACAAAAAAGCAGGAAGGACTGGCTCTCTTTGTTTAACTGAAGCAATGATGCCAGTGTTCTCTTCTTGTGTTTATGGGACAACCTTATGGTGAGATCAGGCTCCTAACTTTAGTTCTTTCTGCAGTCAGAGGGATCAAACCCAAGACATAACAGAAGAACTGAGTTGTAGACTCCTGGGTTTATAAGGAGATTTCAGCCACTCCCCTGTTGAAGCTGTTGCACAATCAAAATTAAGACTGAGGGACTGTGGCATTAACTGGGCAAACATACATGCTATTGGGAGAGAGGAGGTGAGGTGCTAAACTTGGGGAAGAGGAAGGAAGGAAATTACTGGTCTCTTGCATTCTGCAATAGTACATTAATTGATGAACTCTGCATTGTGCTGTATTTCTTGAATGTAAATGGCTGCTGCTCCTGTGTCTGGAGTGGACATAGAGTGGACATTGCTCCAGTGGTCTGGAGCAATCCTATGGGTGCATGTCAGGCAGGTCATGAGGTCAGAGGTCCTCAAGAAGGCTTGGAAGTGTTCATCTGCTGAATCTGGCATGGGAGAATGAAAACATTATGGACATATGGGCATGAAAACAGTATGATTCTCAGGTCAAATGGAAATTTCAGCTCTCAGAGTAGTATTCATCTGGACAGACTCCTCTGCCTGTCTGTCCTACACTTGCTGGATAAGAGAGCACTACCCTGTCTTCATCATTTCCGTGTGTATCAGGACAAGGAACAGGAACTGCTGGGAAATAAATGGCAAAGAAAGGAGGCTGGAGCAATTTGAAAGAAAGTAATTTTTGACAGAACAATAGTGGGAAAAGGTAGCTGAAGATTGCTAAAAATTTTGTTACAACCCACTCTTCTGCTTGTACTTCTTTGTCCAACTGTCCTGTAGTTTTCAGTCTTGGGTGTGACTTGCCTATGCTGTATCCTAATCCCTGTCTGAAGACACCCATTCTGGCGAGATAGCTTTTATGACTGCCTTGTCCCACCTGCTCTGTGCCACTGTGGACACACCTAAGCAGCATAGAAAATATAGAGGAAGTGGTTTATTTCATTTTAATGGCACTTTGACATTGGTGCCTAGAAGGAGAATGGGTTAATCTCTAGTTTGCAGTATCATTTCTAGCCTGTGCTGCCTCTGCAGCTCTTCTGGAGAGAAGAGATTAAAGAGCTCCAAGATTTGCTAGCATTACATGGAAATCTTGGCATACAACAGCCCTGGGAACATCAGTCAGTTCTCAGCTTCTGAAGTATCATTTTTTTCCCCACTGTTTTTTTTTGGGGAATCTGTTCAACAGCACAAATCCTGTTTACCTCTCATCCTCTAGGGGAAGGCCTGCTGAAGAAGTGAGCCTAATGCTGCAACCTGCAGGTGCTCAAGGTTTGTTAATGACCTAAAGCCAGGTACTTCAGGAGGGATAACTGAAGGGAGTAGCAAGATGGAGAAGAGGAAAAGGAGGCAGCAGGTAAGAGAACCACATGTGGAGTATCACTGAGTTAAAAATGTAGTAAAAAAAAGTCAGGGTTATCAGCATTTTATTACCAGTTTGTTCATGCTACAGAAGAGTTCCTCTCACCCTAAGCTGTGTGTTGTTCCAAGGCTGCATGTGTATTCAAGGCACACACGTACTAGCATAGTTACTATTACTTTTACACAAAAGTACATTAAAAAACAATTTGTGCAGGATTATTACTCTTGTAAACTTCTCATTATCAGCTGTATTAATCCCCAAAGAAAGCTGAAACTGCTGTAGTTACTGTTTGTTGACCAGCTAAATAACAGTTATCTTCAGCACTGTTTACTGATTCTTTTTTTCCATTGTTTAACAGCTAATAAATTTGATAACATTTTACTTGTAGGGGGATTTTAGGCTTATGTTGAAAGACTGGTGCTAAGAATTAGCCAATTATACTAGACAACTTTCCAAATTCTAATTCCGCTTGCATAGAAGGATGCACTCTGAACCTAGTTTTCCCACAGTGTTCATTTTGAATCAAAAGTAGCTGATTTTTGTGTTTTTCTGATAAATGCTTCTATTGATTTTTCAACTAGTTAAGCCTCTGCTTTAAGAAAAAGCACTTGTTTAAATCAATTCCTATTTAGAAAAACATGCAAGAACAGGCTTAGATTAGGGTCCTTTGTAGGCCTCATGGGGGTTCTCCCTACATAATAAGAGTGTTTGTATTATGAGGCTGGTTGGGTTAAGTCCATTAGTCATGGTCTCCCTCATCCTTAATCTACCACTCTTCTCAATCTCAAATGGCGATAAAATATTCCTTTCCCATAAATGGATGTTCTAAGGTGCCTGAACTCCAAAGTCCTCAAAGAGATTGTTGCACAGACTGCTCTCTTGAAAGCTGAAACTACATTTTCTCCTTCTCACCCTTGCTCTGGGCTCCTTTATCCCTGATGGCTGCAGCTGTTCTTTTGGGTTCAGGATGGGAGTGGTTGCTGCTGCTCCTGGTCCAATGATGGCTGTCACAGGAGGATGAAGGCCATGGATTTGTTGCAGAGGAATGCCTCTTGTTCCTTGCAATATCACATTAAAATAGTGTATGTCCTGCACACAAGACATTGTTAAGCTAGCAAAACAAAGTAATACTGTTAGTTTTCAAAAGCATTATCTGTCTGTAATTTAATGGTACCTGAAATATAATCTTCTGGTTCCCTAATTAGGGAGACTCCAAATGTTGAATGCCTTAAAACAAGGATATATTTGTATCTGGGGTTGGTCTGTTTTAGATAATATGACTAGCTGAGAAATGCAGATCCAGAATTTTAACCATGCTCTCTCTAATAAAGTGTGTTTTTATCTAGGATTCAGATTCAGGCACCAGTTGATCAAGAGCCGCTCTACCAGTGCAGGGTATTGCTAGGCTGAGAACTTCTCTTACCTGATAAACAGGGAGATGCTTAGTAAAATAGCATGTATTTTAGTGCAACCAACTTTTGTTGCAGAATGTTAATGAAGGTTAATGGAGGGGGAAAGAACCCAGTTCCACAGGCTGAGGCACATCCATCTGCAACAGTGGAGTGCTTGCCATAGCAGCCATTGGCTCTCTTCTCAGACCTCTAGGTGAAACTACAATGTAACTAAAAAGGAGCAATGAGTTAATTCTCTCCTTCTTCAACTGGATTATTCTACAATATTTTCCTCCAGTCTGCTGTACAAAATTCCAAGATCCACCTTCTGTGAAGTGTTCCATACTTATGTACATGCCACAGTGGAAAGTAAAAACGTATACTCTACATTCGGTCATCCCTGCATTAGCTGCTTATCAAATAAGTTTGATTTATACTGATCTTTTTACTGAAGGCCCTGCATAGCAAAGACACAAAGTATAGTATATTATAGCTGAAATTTAGGACCAAACCATCACCTAACTGCACATCTAATTGAGAAATTGCTTGAGATCTTTTACTGGTATTTTCTTCTTTCTGTTGCTTGATATTTAATACTGTAGGAGACTTAATGTTTATGGTGACATTAGCTTCTATTTCTGTTATCTTCAGATGATATCTTTTGCTGTCCTTCAGAAATACAGGAATTGCCCCCATGTGGTTACACCCAGGATCAGGTTACTCTAGGTTTTAGGGAATTTACAAGGCCTAGGAGAGCATTCATCCTGATTAAATTTTCAGTCTAACCTTGAACAGTTTGCCGAGCTGAAGATCAGATATACGGTACTAAAACAATTCAGATATAGTTATTTTTGTTTTTATAGTTAATGGAATTCTAATTTTCCTTCCTTATGTCAAATACAGGTGGTTCTTCTGTTCAGATTGCTTATGCAATTGCTTTGTAAGTTTGTAAAAGTATTTGCTGCTCCTGTGTCTTAAATGTCAGCTATTTCTTAGGCCTCAAATATAGTTTTGCAATAACCTTCATGTGTACTGCCAAAGGTGTTTTGCCACATGCATGGAGTGATGTACATTTTCTTCAAATAAGATAAAGATCCTGAGAACTGTTCATTTTCTGGAGCAATGTAAAAGGCTTACTGACCTTTTGAAATTAAGTGTAACTGAACTCCAGTATTTATTGATCTGCACAAAAAACTTCCAAATACCTTGAATTGCTTTGTAATGTACTCCCACCTTCTGGCATCATGTGAAGTATTGAGCATCAGAAAGTATTTTGGTTATGCATTTAAGAATGGGGAATGTGTGAATGTATATTTATACGGATTCTATGGGTTATAATGACAGGGTGCTAATGCCAGGTTGCAAACTTCATTTTAATTGCAGGGTCAGTCCTTACCTTCCTCCCCTCTGTTTATCTCCTGTGTGGACTGTAATTTGAAGATGCTGCAGTACAGGGCTGCCAGTGGAAGGTCGTCAAATTCAGGATTGTTTCCTTGTATGTACTATGATGAGCAAGATAGAAGTAGGTGGTTTATCTTCTACATCAGTGCATTGCATGATTGAGCCCTCAATGAGTAGCATCTCTATTTGTGGTACAGTGAAAAGGTGTAGGAAGTTGAATTTGGACTATTTTGCTTCTTAAATGTTATGAGATATTCAAGGATTAGGGATTCATTTTGAAGTCCAATATTTCTAGGCAGTTTGCAATGACCTCTAAAAGTGAAATGAGGTTTTTGGTTTTTTAAAAGGCACCCTGACATGAAGAGCAACAGACCACCAGTGGGTCCACGTTAAGTTACTGGCCTCATGACGTAGCCAAGCTATGTTCCTGATCCAAATAGTTTGCAATACTTTTTCCTGTATGTTTTCTTGAACATATCTTGAGGACGTTCACTTTCTGGCAGCCTCCTCTGGAAAAGCTACCTTTTTGCATTCTGCCAGAGGTCATAAAACCAGTGACAGCCCTTCTCAGCTGTGCTGCTGTTGTATGGACACTCCTTACAGCTCTGCCTTGTGGCTTCTTGAAACAAGAATGGATCACTGCTTATGACCCACACCAGAGGAAGTAGGCGATGTGTTTCATGCTAACACAAAATATTCTTGGGTAGCACTGAAGAGTTGCACACCCAGGCAGCCTCTGGGCATTTCTCTGTATGGAGACATTCACTGTTGTGCTGTGTTTGCAGTATTCCTTGAAGGCTTTGTGAGGTATGAAAGAACAGGGTATGATTAGCAGTCATAAGTTATGCCTAGTCAATTCTTGAAGTTTTCTTTGTGTCATCGCAGTTTTATTGTGACTTTGAAGTTGCCTGTCAGGGAATGAGATCACTATCTTAAATGTTTATGGAAACCTTTAAATGGGTCTGAGCTTCAATAATAACATTGTAGGATGCCCACACCACAAAAACAGTATACATACCTTCTCTCCTTTCCCTGTATCTAATATTTTTTTTAAGATTTTATTTAGAAACTTCAAGTAACAGTAGTATTGGAAACACTTTCAGTTGAAATTGCACCAGGTTTTTGGTCGTAATATCCAGAACTGGAACTCCAGAAGGTGGGAGTGGAGCTGGGGTGGAGCTTGGCAGCTAGAGGTGCAGTTCCATAGCCCCATACCACATAATCTCAGGCTTGCATAGAGATCCTAATCAACTTATTTTGTAAATAAAAATCATATAGCTGTGTTGGAGACATCTTAGAATAGAATATTTCAGTTGGAAGTTACCTACAATGATCATCTAGTCCAAATGCCTGAGCAATTCAGGACTGACCAAGTTAAAGCATGCTGTTAAGGGCATTGCCCAAATGCCTCTTAAACACTGACAGGCTTGGGGCATCAACCACCTCTCTAGGAAGCCTATTCCAGTGTTTGACCATCCTCTCAGTAAAGAAATGCTTCCTAATGTCCAGTCTAAACCTTCCCTGGTACAGCTTTGAGCCATTCCTACACATCTTATCACCAGGGAGAAGAACTCAGCATCTCACTTTCCCTTTCCTCTCCTCAGGAAGCTGTAGAGAGCAATGAAGTTATCCTCCTTTGCTCCAAAATAGCCAAGTCCAAAGTCCTCATCTGCTTTTCGTATAACACTCCTTTCAGCCCTTTCACTGGCTTTGTTGCTGTCCTCTGGATGCATTCAGAGACCTTCACAACCTTCTTAAATTGTGAGGCCCAGAACTGCTCAAGTATTCAAGGTGAGGCTGCACTATCTCTGAACTGAGTAGAACAATCACCTCTTTGATTGGATAGTTTGATCCACTCCAGGATGCAGTTTGCCCTCTTGGCTGCCAGGGAACACACTGTTGACTCATACTGAGCTGCTGCCAACCAGCACCCCTTTTTTCAGGGCTGCTCGCCAACCACTCCTCTCCAAATAATATTTGTGTTCAGTGTTACTCCATCCTGGACACAAAAATCTGGCATTTTGACTTGTTTAATCTTATCCCATTTATCACTCCTCCATGCTTCAGTCTATCTGGATCCCTTTGTAAGACAACTTGTCCCTCAACAAAGACAACAGCACCTCCCAGTTTGGTATCATCAGGAACTGTGTTAATGGTTCATTCAACT